ATGATGCACTGCATCGCTCACGGCAATAACGGGCAAGTGGGGTATGTATTTTTCAGACTAAAAACGGCTGACACCGGACGGAGTATAATCGGGCTTTGCTCGAATGGGTGCAGACGAGTGAGTACGTTCGGATCAGTCCAATTCCTGTTGTGTCCCGCATCGTTTTCGTCCACCTATACTGAAAACTGGTACTTTTTCACATCGGGCAGTCTGTGGCAGGCCGAATATAGATCCGCATAGCGCTGCCTAAATGACTCCGTGTTACCGTCCTGATACACTTCACAGCATCTCCGGCGAGTTTAAACAGGGAAAGGTCAATCGACCTTCCTGTTGAAGAGCCCGGGGCTGTGACGTGTGCTGGAGCGGGCCCCGTAGGCGCCCTGGAAATTGGGGTACAATTTAAACTGAGAGACTGAAAACAATGACACCTAATAAGAAAAACCCTAAAGGGACGACCGCAACCCCACAAATAATAGAATCTGGATCACAACCACACGGAATAAAACAGACTACCCACCAACCACAGTCTCTGGAGTCGGGCACTGTTTGAATGTAGCCAACATGGAGGGGAAGTTATCTGACTACCATCCCAAGTAGTATAGTCAGACACAGGGAATTAGATACCCGTGAAACCCTAAGTGGATCGGATATCACGGCAACCCCGGTCCAGAGAAACGACGACAAAAAAAATCAAATAGTGGAGCAACGAGGCTATACTGCGTACTCATGGTGGAAAGTGCACGAACCACATGGGGACTTGAGATCCACACGGCGTTACGGCGTTACGGCGCCGCTCAACAACCAGCGTCTAGGGAGACGACGATGAGGTCAAAAAGGAGATTCTGGTCCGAGACAAAAAATTCCTAACGTGATATGGGAAGAGGGCAGTGCAAATGCCTGAGAAAGTCGGGCTGCACACGGGGGAGCAGCATAACTCACACCGAACTGGCTAAAAAGCACCGGACATCGGGATTTTAGCGAATTATCCCCCTCCACCGCACCCGCCGTGATCGGGCAAGTGGCCTGAGGCCGACAGTACGCGCAGAGCGTTTCCTCACGCTGGTGCAGTCCCATGACGACATTCTGATTGGCCGGCTGCTAGCCCCGGGTTTCAAGGAAACAGGGCAACTTGAAGCGGACAAGAGAGAGAGAGAGAGAAATTACGCTGCCGGCGGGGATTTAGGTACAATTGAACTGGGCGCTTATCTAGATACTGAGGCCACTAGCAGGAAAAGGAAACGAGGCCAGGCGGATCACTGTGTGAGGAACCATCTGATGAGAGATCTGGACCAGATGGCAGAAGCCTGACCCTAAATTATGTGAAATGGACAAGATGTCCCCCCCCTCTCCAGGACAGTTGAATAGACAACTGATACCCGAATCACGAAGTGCATTGGAGAGATCTTTAACATGTAAGGCAATGGTATCATCTCCCCACGGAAGCAAAGTAGATGAAATACTGTACGCGATATGGACCACCGTGGGAATAGAGCAATTCTCTCCAGGCGATGCACCGCGGCACTGAGAGATGTGCGAGAGTTAGCACGAGGGCCGGTCTGGACAAGGTGCCACACACAGAATGGATGTGAGAAACCTTCAGGCTGAAGGCGGACCCGCATTTGAAAAAAAAAAAAAAAACTAGAGTTTTGGGCGCTACGCAAAAAGGCTTTATAGATCAAAGCCCATCACTGAATAAAAAATAGAACCCATGATGTGTAGAGTGAACAGAGTGCAAGCAGTAGTAGGATCGGGTAACTAGTGCCGCAGGCATTGGACAGATTGGCGCGCTGATCGTGAGCACAGCAGCCAAGTTCATTCAGAGGCGCCTTTCCTTTTTTTCTACGCGGCTTGGCAAGGGTCAGTAAGTACTTGCTGGGATATGCGGGGTAAGTGAGGAAAGTCCGAGAAGGACGAAGAAGACCCCTTGACGAGTGCAACATTAGACCGATATCCGATCTGAGTAAAGCAGTAGGCTCAGGAGATGAATGAGCAACGACGATGACCAATCCACACCGGCAAAGCGCTCGACATGAAGATTCGATCTGTTCATTTCAAGAGTACTGCTACAATAGTTATGTAAGCATCCCGTCCCGCAGGCAAGATTTGATCTCGGGAAGAAGAAGAAGTTCATTCATATGTATGACAAAGCCGAGAGTGGGCGGTGCAACAGCTGGAAGAAGTTCTTGGCTCGTTGCATACTCAGCTGGACTGTAGAAGTACAACCCCAGCACATGGTAGTTAATATAGCGGGCAGATGCATGAACTCGACTTGCTAATGAAGACCATGCCGATCATTGCAGAGTGATCAGACCTCCCCGAGAAGGCATAGATACACGAATTTGGGACGACAGATTAGGGGCCCAGATAGCGGATCGAGTCGATCTTTCGATCAAATGTCGAATTCGCTGAATGAGTAGTAGAACCGCCTGGCGCTGGGACGGACGATCGCGATGAGGGTCTGGGCCCTATCGAGCACACAAAGTGTCTTCCGTCATACAGGTGAGAGATGAGTTAGGCTGGGGTGAGAACGCCAATATATCGTATGAGCATCATGAAGTGAGAAATGTGTATGCGCCGGTCACCTGTCTACCGAGCCCAGCGATAAGGAAAATAATGTAATTTGATGGGTGCTTTTGATTTTTTGCCCACGAACCATCTGACATAGTAAGCACCACCGGCTCTATCCGATCCAAATTAGGCAACCCGCGCACGGGCCTACGATGTTGTTCATCGGTGGGACAGGACCTTTACTTATTCCATGGCTCTGTACTATAGAGGCCGGTCACCTGCCTTAGCTAGCGGCGCCCGGGGGGATGTCTCATGGTTCTGCTGACTGTTACCAATGTAATGAGGTTTTTTACTTATATGAATCGAGCGAAGATCGCAAGCAGGGAAAAAGTAAAGACTCCCCAAGTCGCTCGCCGATTTCTCCGAGGTCTAGCCCCAATGTACGTTGCCTCAACTGGGAGGAGTCTGGGAAAAAGTTGGTACCAGTGTAACCAAAACATCGATGTGCCTCTGACGAACAAACAATATATATAATGCATTGGGGACAGGGATATCATTGTCTAGCTAGTATGCATCTTGGTTCTGGTCAAGGTTCTCTCTCATCCGTGTTGATCGTATCGACAAGTGCAGCCTTCTCGGAGTGAGAAGCACATAGATCGGCGGCCGTGTTGCCGGGGTCAGGGTGTCAATTGCGTTGCGTCGGTCTTACACCGTAGCCGCGGCCCTCACGAGAACAAGATCAAGAAAAGGGTCTGTAACAGACAACGTTGCGGCTCCTCGAGATTGTTGATGAGTCCGAGCGCGAGAGTCGGGTTAACATGCATGCTTGAAGCGCCCTGGCCTGGGGCGCTCCGATGCGGTCGCAAACATTTAAATGAGTACCACAAACGCCGCAAATACGTACCCGAAACAAGAGTTTGGGGTGTATGATAGCGCAAACGCCTAGGCATATTGCGCCAATCAAATATGAAAGGGACGACCTGAGAGTCGAAAAGAAAAACAACTATATGCCGAAGCGCAATCAGGGACGAAGCTGCAACCGTTTAAAAATATTTTTTGTGTTCCGTAGCAACCGGCTCCTCGCCCTGGCGTGTGGCATTTGCCCAACGAAATCCCCAAGGGTCTTTTTCTTCTTTAGATAAAATATTCTGAGGAAGGGACTTGTTCGCTTCAGCTTCACTCCGTGGGGAACGCGCACAAGTTTCAGCAGCGGGGAACGCTTTTCGGGGCCGATTGCGCTTGCATGGGTCCATTGATCACACATTGTATAATATAACTAGAATCCTGGGCCTTATGTATATCCCGGCGCGCCCACGAGCAACGAGTGCTGCTTTGATGGGCCAACCTTTTTGAGTGGGCGGTAAATCAAGCACGTAATCATCGTCTGTGCGGTTTTAGCAAGTCCATCGGCACGGTTGGTGGAGTGGGATTAATGGTACTCTCGGATCCGTCTCCCTCGAAGTTATATGTAATACTTGGCAGTTTTGTAAGGGCCTTTGCGGAAGAACGTTCAAGTGAAGATTGTTGGGCGGGCAGTCGGATGCTTCTCGAAGCCGGAATAACTCCATGCATGGTGAGCAAGAAATTTTGCTGACATGACAAAGCCAATGTGATGTGAAGCTTCGTCATGATGTTCCCATCGTGCTTTGTTTGCATGCAACTGTGGCCCGACATAAGCGGCACCAGCTACCATCAGAACGCAGCTCATGCGCCAAATTGCCCAATATTGCTTTTGTACTTCTACATCATTGGTATCTTTGTTGCGACACTTTGTGTGAGGAAGAACGCAAAAGACATTGCAAAGACGCGACCGGGTTGCCGAGTTGAAATGAGATCCTGGGAGGATATCCATCAATTGACAGATCTTGCTGGGGAACGTACTTCGCCACGAGATCGATATCCTTCGAGCCAGGCACTCCCAGAGGAGATGAGTGAGTGGGAGAGTGCAATATTACAACACATTAAATGCCGAAATAGGCAATTATTTCCGGAATCAGAATAAGATGGCTCAAGAAGGAATTTTAATATAAATTATAAATGTATTAGTCATATTGCAACATTTCTTCTATGGTAATCTCAGGGCAAGGTTCTAAACTCTTATGAAGAGAATTTGCTTGGGGGGCTCAACCCATACTTGGTCAACGCTCCCCTTCCACTCTCCTATATAACATCTCTTCTTTTTTTCCTCACCGCCTCCTGCCCCCCCTCTCCTCTCTCTCTCTACTCCTCACATCTCTTAGCGTACAAGACGTATCGAACAGCATTCAACCTCCCGCCCTGCACGGATCATACTTTCCTCCTTTAGCGCACTTTCATATTCGGCCCATTCACTATCCCTCCCCCAAGCCCCATTACTCAGCTCATCCCGTTATAAAAACTAGAACCTAAAAAAAAAATGTGGTTATTCTCTCGTAACCCTTCATCGTCATCATCAGCATCGGCAACAGCAATAGACAGCACAGCCTCAAACTCTCCTCCTCGTATCCTTCGATCCACAATGATGAAACGCTCCCCAAACTCCAACCTCGCTATCGAACTCGTCCTCGATATCCTTGAGATCCTTGCCGCGGACGAAGCCCGATTGAATGGAAAGACTCCTCCCAGTTTGATCAATACTGCACTCGTTTGTAGAGCCTGGGCGCCTATAAGCCAATCTCTGCTCTTCCGAAACGTGGTCCTGGGTACTCAGGGTCAATCCATCCAATTCCTAAATGCTATCCATCCACGCACCGAAAAAGCCCATTTTTTACGTGCGAACATTAAAAGTCTCGAAGTGCTCGTCTCTGACGAGGAGGATGGCCGAATCATCACACAGTGAGTAAACCTCTCTCAAACTTGGCGCCTCTTTTTTCTGATGCGATCGCTTCCCTGTTTTCAGAGCCGCGTTTGCTAATATCCTCAAGCTGTGCCCGAACGTGGCGGACCTGAGATTGTTCTACTATTGTTTACGACCCCTTGACCGCACCACTATCGATATTCTTCGTACCGTCCCTGCACCCTCTTCCCTGTCCCTTCGATCAGGTATGTTTACTAAATTGCATCATTCTTCGATTTGAACCGACAATATCCTACTTTTCCTCGTCCCCCTCCTCTCCCTTCCTAAAACAAATTAGCCCAACACCCCTCACCTCTGTGGGATCTTCTCTCAATATGGCCCACAGTACAACACCTCGAAGTCGCCCTATGGGAATCTCCATCCATTCACACCACTCAACCCCCAAAAGCCACCAACGCTCAACAATGGGCACCTTACGAAGTCCGTTGGTTGGACGAATCCGATTCAGGAGAAGATTGGGCCCTACCGCATCTCTTACGTCCAGGATCCCTTCGAATCCTTCAACTCTTGAGAATCCCTTCTGACGACTATTTCGAAGATTTGATGAAGAAACATGGACCTTACTTGCGAAGTTTAAGACTTTGTGGTCCTGGAGGCGGTAGCGTTTCTCCGATGAGAGAAGAGATCATTCCTTCTTTGAAGAATTGTACTTCGTTGGAAGAGTTCAAGTATATGAGGATACCGAGTAGGAATCTTCTTCAAGCTTTACCACCTTCTCTCGAACATCTTCAATTCCAAAATAACAATCGGAAACCAACCTCTATTCGATCTCTCTTGGAATGGATCGAATTTTCGGAAAAATCGAGACGGTTGAGGGTCGTCACGTATAATTCGTGCGGGGATCCTTTGAGTGAGGAGTTGAGGAGGTTGGTGGAGATTTGTAGGAGAAGGGGGATCGTGTTGAAGTGTTATGCGGATAATCCACCTATGGAGGAAAGAGAACCTTTGATTCGGCCTCTTACTTTCCCTAGACCCGTTCCGGACGCAAGGAGGAAGATCGTTGACCCTTCTTCTTCTGCAGCTGGGACGACGCCAAAGGATGGTCGAGAATTCATTATCCTTCTCCTGGTTCTTCCCCCGTTTCAAGTCTACCGAATTCGCCTACATGTCTACCATCCCCATCTCCATCCCTATCCCCATCGTCACTGGCAGGCAGCGGATCATCCCTCCATCGACGGTCTCCCGATTATCCTTCTGGACGATTGAGAAAAGGAAGTTCGCCAGATGGAGGAGTTTTTGGAATCAAGCTCGGATTGTAACCGAAGCGGCGAGAAGTATCCCAATAGAAGTCCGGGACTTTGATGCTTGATAACATTGAGGAGTCCTTTCTCTCTCTCTCCCTTCCTAACACGGTGCCGTCCATAGGCAAATCGTTGCCCTCCTCCATATCTAACGGATTCATTCATTCATTTCTGGTTGGCTTGCTCCATGGGGCTTTCGAAAATTTCCATGTCATCGAACTTAAACACCTTTTCATGACCGGCCGTTGCGCCCGCATGTTGGTTCTTGTATTCTTTTCTGCAGCCCATCTCGGGGATGTTATATCCTCGTTCTTCATGAATCCCTGCACTTGATCCTCCGCCTCCATATTGCATTGCTTTCATCATTTTTTTGTTTTGTTTTGCTTTGTCTTTTTTTTTTTTTTGCATCTCCTTGACGGATCATATGACGTGACGAGTGGCATGACATTATTGGACCTGGATCTGATCGAAGCATCTTTTTGTCCCCTCTGTACTAGTACTATAACAACGTGTACATGTACGTGTTTTTTTTTTGATATTATACATAGTACGAGATGACCCATGCGGTTTTGCTGCCCAGGGACAATTCTAAAAGGGTTTTGAAGGGAAGCGCGCCGCGCGGGTTCCTGTTCCATGTTGCGCGAATGCATATATCTATATACTTAGCTAGGCTGCATGCGCATGCATGCATGGTACTTGATGCTGATCTTCTCGCAACAACATCAGAGAAATCCCCCCTTAGCTGACCCAGTCATGTGCATGCTGACCGCGCGCATGATTCAAGAGAAGTCGCTCAATTTCATAAGCGGAAACCGAACTAGAACTTGTACAATTGCAATTGCATACATGCAGGGTAGATGGAAGCAGCTAGCTACTGTATATAGCTATTGCGTTGTTCTCGCTTGCACTCTAGTATAGTTAATCAAGTACTGCGGGCAGGGCGAACAGTGGATATATTCCCCTCTGCCGGCGCCGCACGCGCGCATATGGGCGCGCGTATCAATATAAGAACTCCAAGGTGCTATGTATATGAAATTAGGATACTGAGATCATTGATGTATATGCAAGCATTGTATATATGTGATAGATCGTCCATATGTCCATACGGATGGAAGTCGCATCGTCGTCTATAGTAGAACATGAACGTGTTGAAAGTTCAACGCATCCTTCATCCGATCACCATTTATGGAATAAACCATTGGAATTTCTGCGTAGGTAGGGTTGAAATACATCGCCCCCCCCCATGCAAACTCATTGTTAGGCGAGGGATATATATCCCCGTCTTCGAGGATAGATGCAGTGCATAAAGGTTGTACCAGTCTTTGCAAAATATTGTAGTGGTCGCAGAGCATTTTTTTGAAGGGGGACAGCGGACCGGCTGGAGCTCCGCTAAGGCACTACGTATGGTCGTGTGCCCTTGAACCGGTATGACTGTCCATGATGAACAATTATGTAGGAGACTCTGAAGATACTACATAATGAAACGACTAGCTTCATCTCGCTGCATGCATGAACATCATGAATGTTCCCCGCAATATGATATGAACTCGCTTGTGGTTAGAAGCCCGGGGCGGTAATAGCACCGCTTATAATTCATGCATCTTCATAGTAGAAAGGGGGTTTACCCCAGTACCGAAATGGACGATGTGGCCTAATCTATCTGGGCTGAAGTGGCCGAATCATAGGCATGTGGGTGGGTGATCTTACCCAAATGAGTGTTTTTTTTTTTTTGGCTGTGCAAGGAGTTCGTTGAATTCAGACGTGGGAAACTTGGATCGATTGGGGGGTGGCATTTTCTATGCCATTCTATGGAGCCAGAACATCAAGAAGCCCCCCCTCCCCTGGCTTTCGTTCGCAATCGTTTCTCACCGAACCTGAGTCAATCCGAACGGATATCAATCAAAGCAAGACGATTTATCTCCGGATCTGCAGAGTCCCGAGATCCGAGGACAACTCACGGCTACCCAGGGAAAGTTTCCCTGCCCGGTAGTAATTAGAGTAGCTAGAGCTCGGAGGCTAAATATATTGAGAACCCCCCATGAATCCTTGTTTATGTTCTAGCTAGCGGGTAGGGGGAAGTGGTCATATTTATCCGAGAATGCGAAAGGATTGACCCCCAGAGCAATGACCCACCTTCGTCAAAGTCACACGTGCATGGAAGAAGCAGTAGCATGCAACCGTGTGCCCTTGCACGATGACCGACGGTCAAGGAAGAAAAAAAAAGCCTAGGGTCTTGGATCATCCGCAGGGGATTCATGCAGGAAAGAGAGAAGAACCCAAAGGCTTCGGCCGAATTAGATTAAACAATTGTTTCGTCGTCATCAGAAAAGTCGGAAAGGGTGAAAAGTTGGCATCTTTTTTTTTTCTTCTTAGTTCCAGTTTCGCAGGGCGTATGTAGGTGGAGGGAAAATATGTACAGCGAGACGAGTCGCATCTCGGCGGAAGATAATTCATAATTTTAAAACAAAAATGAACCATTGCGTATATTGTAAGGTTGAGGTGGGTATCATAAGTGGCTTTGCTTCCTAGCATTAATGGTCTGAGCTGGTGTTAGGGGATTCAGAGCCGTGGGGAACCCTGGGTTTGGGCCGGCAGTTTGT